GCCGAAATACTGGTACTGTGCGTAATGGAGACCCCTTGTGGTCCATGTATAGCACGACTGCAGTACAAAATGACGGACGGAATTCGTGTGGATTCTCGCAAAACACATTGGGAGGTGCCACGTTTTCGCCGACACTGTATCGATGATTAACACACGTCGTGGTGGTTATGTAAGAACCGATGTAATGGCACTATTCGTAATGAACATGCCAATTGTGGTCCGCACATACCACGACTGCGCAACAAAATGACGGACGGAAAGGGCGTGGACATTCTCAACACGTTGTGAATCGGCATTGGCGCGTGTGGCGGCGTTCGGAGAAAACATTTCCGAGCATGTAATGCTCTCGCCCCTGTCCTGGCTGCATCCTTCCCGGGAGTCCCTAGGAATACTCAGGACTGGGCGCTCTCACTGGCCGACCTCCTCGACCTGCCTCTTCGTCTTGGCTGCTGTTGGTTCTTTCGCCCACCTTGCGCTGGAATCTGTGTTTGGGTTCTTTCTCCTGCCAGGCCTCCCGGCCGGCCGCGGCGAGCCCCCCCCCTATCCCTTTGGACTGGACGCCCGAAATGGGTACGGAAGAAAAAGTTGGCACAATGCCCAACAACAAATGTTGTCCCAAACCAACAGCGGCCGCTGTTGGGCAAGCGGCCTCCTGTCTCACATAGACACAGGCCGCGGCGGCGCGGACAGCGACTCCTGCTCAAAATGGACAGGAACTGCTGTTGGGCATTGTACCTATTCTTTCCGTGCCCATGTAATCCCCGCTCGCGCGAGGCCCAGAGGCGGCGAGGAGCGTCCGAGTCCTGCCGGCCATCCCTGCTGATGCAGCCCCGCGGCTGCCTGCTGGGGCAAAGACAAAGACATGGACATAAGTCTCTGGAGTTCCGCGAAGGAGTTCTCGGATCGGCGCTGGAGCCCCCTGGTGCCGCCTCCAGCGCCGCGCTTGGCGAATCAGCGCGAACCGCCAGAAGTTTATGCTTGCTCGAGCCTGCGCAGAGCACGAGACAATGAGCGAATGATCCACCGGTCATCGCTTCGGCATGCCCCGAGATCTTGGCGTTTCAATGTTTTCGACCCCGGCTTTTTCGCCCAGCTTCGGGCCCTGGGACCCTCACAGATCGATCCGGCTCGGAAACGGCGCAGAAAGATGGGGTACGGGGCTCTGGTTGTGATGTTTCGCGATTTTGCATCAGAGTTCTGGGTGTCGGATCTCAGGGTGCCTTGCAGACCACGGACGTGGACCCGTCCTCTGCACAGGCAGCCACGGGGCCGCAGCAGCAGAGCGACAGAGAGGAAACAGTCCGAGTCCTGCCAGTCGTTCCTCTGGGGAGGTCGAACCCCCCTTGCCCTGCCCCCCCCCCGCCCCCTTGCACGCCGCCGCGAGGTACGCCGCGGGCACCGTCATCACGGCCGACATGTTGGTGAGGGCGGAGGAGCCTCCCGCTGTGTTCCTGTACCGGCTCATCCCTCCCTCCTCCTTGCGGGGTCCCCCCTGAGACTTTTTAGAGAAAGGTAACCCCCAATCCTACTCCAACTGTTTTCCTCTTCCATCTGTCCTCAGACATCCGACGGCATGTTCATCCCAACCGTATTATGTTGAGTTGGGTCCTCGTTTTGAAGAGAGCGCCACACGTGACTTCCCGCCTCTCCTCTCCTCCTCCTCCCCCTCCTCCCTCCTCCCACCCTTGCCTCTCCCTCCAGCACGTCCTCATCACCATCATCATCTTCATCTTCTTCATCGTCTTTATCATCATAATCGGAAGATTCCACTTGAACATCATTATCATCAGCATCATCAACAGCATCATCAGCAGCAGTTTCATCACCACCACCACCAGTACGGTAGTATAAGCATCACCATCACCACCACCACATTCATCATCATCATCATCATCATCATCATCATCATCACCATCATCACCATCATCACCATCACCATCATCACAATCATGATCATCATCACCATCATCATCACCATCATCTCATCATCATCATCAGCATCATCATCATCATCCTCGTCACAAGCACCATCATCACAATCCTCATCATAACCACCATCATCATCACAATCACCATCACCATCATCATCAACAACATCAACATCAAGATAAGCATCATCGTCATCGTCAACATCATCAGCAGCATCAGCAGCATCAGCATCATTATCAGCATCATCATCACCATCACCCCCACCACCATCATCACCATAAGCATCATCACCAGCATCGGCATCATCAGCATCATCATCCTCACCATCATCATCATCAGCAGCAGCACCGTCATCATCATAATCCTCATCATCGCCGTCACATCCCCCATCTTTCACGCGTATGCTTCAGCACACCCCTCGCACGTTTCGTGGCCCCATGGGGAGCTCCACCTAAGCACCCAGTGGCTGCGCCCGAATGCCGCCACCCCCTCGGTGTTGTACACCGCTCACACGTTTCGTGGCCTCATGGAAAGCTCCACCTAAGGGCCCAGTGGCTGCGCCCGCATACCGCCACCCCCTCAGTGTGGTACACCGCTCACACGTTTCGTGACGCCATGGGGAGCTCCACCTGAGGCACCAGTGGCTGCGCCCGCATACCGCCACCCCCATCACTTTGGCACACCCCTCACACGGTTCGTGGCCCCATAGTGTGTTCTCTACACGCATTTCGCGGCTCCGTCGGGAGCTCCACCGATGGCGGTTATCACACCGGCGGTATTCACAATTCTTTACGCTTCGCGTATCCCCACCAGCCCGTCCAGAAACGACGCCCAGGCGAGTAGAGGGTCGTCCTGAGGGGCTTTTCGGCGTCTTGGGTGCCTCGGGGGGGCCTCTTTGGGCCGTTTGGGATCCTCTTGGGGGCCTCCTGGGGGCCACTTGGGGCCATCTTGGGGCCATCTTGGGGCCTCTTGGTGCCTCCTGGGCGCTTCTTGGGGCCATCTTGGAGGAAATCGATCAAAGAAGAGGGGAGCTTCAATTAGCGCTGCCCCCTCAGAAGGCCAAACTGGGGCCAAAACCTTAGTAAAATCAATGATTTTGGCTTCAAAGAAGAGGGGAGCTGTAATAAGCGCTGCCCCCTCAGAAGGCCAAAATGGGGCCAAAACCTTAGTAAAGTCAATGATTTTCGCTGCAAAGAAGAGGCGAGCACTTTTCTCCCCCCCCCCGTCGGGGCCACGATCCTCGTGAGGGGTGTCGAATTTTAGCCCTCCCAGGAGTCGAAAAAGACCCCTCCAACGACCCGCGAAAGGACCTCTCCAGGCCCAGGGGGAGGGGGTAGGGGGAGGGGTAAACCCCTCCCCGAAGGGGAAGAAGGGGGTTGAGAACAGAGCGGGCTCTCTAAACCACTCACGCCCAAAGGGCTGGTGGGATTACATATGGTTGGGTCTTTCTTTGGCGGTCCCGACCCCTTCCCCAGGGCCAGCTTTTGCCCTGGATCGGTCTTTGATGGCCCTGGTGCCCGAAAACAATCCCCGATGACCTAAATCTAGGACAAACGCCCGGATTGAACAAAGCATCGTCGAAGAGTTGGGCTTTCCTTCTCCCTCCTCCTCCTCCTCAATCAATCGGGCCAGTAGTACATCTGACTGTAAGGGCGCAGGGGATTCTGGCCCAATGCGCCGTTGCTTGCCTTGCCAGGCCCGTCGGCCCGTACCCTCCCAAGCATAATGCGGGCCTCCCCATTTGCTCAGCCCAGCCCAGGAGGCTTGCCAATGTGCACCGCCACGTGAGATCCCGTGCTGCTCCGCATCCTCTTTTTCCTCCTCCTCCTCCTCCTCCTCCTCCTCCTCCTCCTCCTCCTCCTCCTCCTCCTCCTCCTCCTCCTCCTCCTCCTCCTCCTCCTCTCTTTTCCTCCTCCTCCTCTCTTTTCCTCCTCCTCCTCATCTTCCTCCTCCCTCCTCTCGGTTCGGGGGGCTGGGCGCCCACAGCCGGCACGGCAGCGACGCGACGTTCTGGAGGGGCTCCGCGCCGGGCGGCCTCTCCCAGGTCCCCTCCGCATTCTTCCCCGACGACGGGGAGGACGAGGACGACAACGACGACGATGAAGAGGACGCTCGTCCTCCTGCTCGTCCCCGCCGTCGTCATCCTCCTCCCCTCCCCCCCATCTTCTTCTTGTCTTCATCCTCATCCCCCTCCGCCTCCTCATCCTCGTCCCCCTCCTCCGTTCGTCACCCTCATCCTCCTCCTTCTTGTCTTCCGTCCATTTCGTAGTCCCAGTTCTCGTCGTCGTCGTCGTCCTGCTGACCATCCTTATCTTTTTGTTTTCACCCTCTTCCGAGAAGGCTGCGGCGCAGGAGGAGTGAGGGAGGAGAAGGACGACGAAGAGGAGGATGAGGAGGAGGAGGAGGAGAAAGAGGAGGAGGGGGGAATGACGAGGACGAGGATGACGGGGAGGAGAGGACGAGGATGAGCAATGGGAAGACGAGGATGAGCAGGAGGAGGAAGGAGCAGCAGAAGGTGGGGGGGAAGAGAAGGGAGCATCTCAAGGAGAAGAGGGAGCAGGAGCAGGAGGACGAGGACAAGGATGGTATCGAAGCGAAGGAGGACAAGGACGAGAAGAAAGAACATAATCAGGAAGGGAGAGGACGGAGAGTGGAGGGGAGAAGCCCCAGGGCCCCAAATGGCTCCATGGAGCATCATGAAATCGGAAACGCCATGACAAACCCAGTGGCGCCCCCCTCAAATCCTGCCCTCTCCTCTTCCTCCTCCTCCTCCTCCTTCTCCTCCTCCTGCTTGCTCATCCTCCTGCTCCTCCGGGAGGAGGCGCGGGGGTGGAAGACAAAGAGAAAGAGAGAGACCAAGAAATCGGACGCCTTGATTTGTTCCAATCGGCGTCCCCTCCAGTCCCGATCCTCTCCCCAGGCTCGCCCTTGAATCAGCTTTTTTGACGGTCCTGGGCCTAGCGAGGGCTCCCAGGTACTGAAACGACGAGGGCTCCCAGAAGCCAAAACGACGAGAACTCTCCAGCTCTGCTCTTTCAGCACATTAGCACTGCTGGGGAAGCGCCCAGGTCATGGCCGGCTACCTCGCCAACTTTGCCGCCCGCGGAGACCCCAACGGCCCGGGACTTCCCCGGTGGGAGCAGGCCACGGCCACTTCGGAGCAGGGCTTGCCAGGACCGGCCGCGCTCCTCCTCGTCCTCGTCCTCGTCCTCCTCCTCCGCCTCATAAACAACAGCAGCGACAACACCATCAACAACATCAGCATCAGCATCATCATCATCATCATCATCATCATCATCATCATCATCATCATCATCATCATCTTCACCACCATCATCATCAGCAGCATCATCATGATCATGATCATGATCATGATCAGCATCATCAACATCATCATCATCATCATCATCATCAGTATCATCATCATCATCATCATCATAATCATCATCATCATCAGCATCATCATAATCGCCGTGATCATCATCATCATCATCAAGAGCATCGTCATCGTTATCATTTTCATCACCACCATCAGCATCATCAGTATCATCATCACCGTGATCAGCATCACCGTCGTCATCATCCTCATTATCACTATCCTCATCGTCAGCATCAGCGTCATCATCACCCTGATCATCATCATCATCATCATCATCATCATCGTCATCAGCAGCAGCAGAGGCATCGTCAACATCGTCATCATTATCATCATCATCAGCAGCATCATCATCATCATCAGCAGCATCACCATCACCATCACCATCACTATCACCATCACCATCACCATGAACATCATCATCAGCAGCATCACCATCGTCGTCGTCATACATCCTAGCGCTCATCCTGTAAGGGCTGACATGGTCTGGCTTCGTTTGCGCCCGAAGCCTTGCACGGTGTCATTTCAACGCTTTGAAATGTGGACTTCATGGATTGCCACCTTGTCTTTTCCATCGATCCCGTGGAGAAAATCTTCGTCATCATCCCTCCTGCATCTCCCTCCTGCAGCCTCAGCGTCGTTTTCTTCCTCGCCCTCCCCATCCCTGCCTCCGTGCGGTCCCTGAGCAGCCCCGGGGCCCCGCGTGGGCACCTGGGCACTTCGAGCTCGTGCAACGCAGGCCGTCTCGACCTGCTTGTCACGAACGAGGCCCGGCGCACCACTCGAGAACACGACTCTCGGATCTGTCACGCTGCCGGCGCGGCCCTTCATGCGTCATACGAAAAATCACGCAGCCCCCTCGTGACACGTGCGCTCCTCCGTGCTGCCCCCCTGCGTCCCGACAAAGATCCGGTCCAAACCGGACACCCCTCCCGGGACCCGTCCTGGCCAGTGCTCGTCGCTTGCCCACAGCAGCGCCCACACGCAGAAGAAAACACGAAGTACCTTTGCGAAGAATCCGATCCATTGTAAACGCGTGGCCGCTATTCTTATGGAGGGGTGCTCCGGAGTGGGCGAGATGGCGCCATGCGAACGGGGCCGCGAAACATGTGAGGGGTGTGCCGACATGGGCGGGCTGCCGCCATGCGAACGCAGCCTCTGGGTCCCTGGGTGGAGCTCCATATATGGCCACGGGGCGTGTCAGGGGTGTGTCGACATCGGCCGGGTGGTGCCATGCGAACGCAGCCACTGGGGGCTTGGGTGGAGTTCTTTGTGGGGCTACGAAACGCGCGAGGGGGTTGTTGCCAGAGTGGGCGCGGTGGCGCGCTGCGAACGCAGCCATCGGGGTTTTGGGTGGAGCTCCGTTTAGAGCCACGAAGTGTGTGAGGGGTGTGCCGAAATTTGCGGGGTGGCGCCATGCGAACGCAGCCACCGGGGCCTTGAATGGAGCCCCCTGTATCGCCACGAAGCGTGTGAGGGGTGTGCCGACATGGGCGGGGTGTCGCCAAGCGAACGCAGCCATTGGGGCCTTGGGTGGAGCCCCCATATGGGGCCACGAAGCGTGTGAGGGGTTTGCCGAACGGGGCAAGGTACCGCCAAGCGAACGCAGCCATTGGGGCTTTGGCTGGAGCCCCCTATGGGGCTACGGACCTTGAGAGGGATGTGCCGGCATGGGCGAGGTGGCGCCCTGCGATCGCAGCCATTTGGGCTTTGGGTGGAGTTCCGTATGGGGCCACGAATCGTGGGAGGGGTATGCCGCCATGGGCGCGGTGGAGCCATGCGAACACGGCCACTGGGGCCTTGGGTGAAGCCCCCTATGGCGGAACGAAGCGTGCGAGGGGTGTGTCGACATGGGCGGGATGGCGCCATGCGAACGCGGCCACTGGGGCCTGGGGTGAAGCCCCCTATGGCGGCACGAAGCGTGTGAAGGGTGTGTCGACATGGGCGTGGTGGCGCTATGCGAACGCAGCCACTTGGGCCTTGGGTTTGGCGCCCCATGGGCCACGGAGCGTGTGCCGGATGTGCCAACGTGGGCGAGTTAGCGCCTTGCGAATTCAGCCACCTGGGCCTCGGGCGGAACCCCCTTAAGGGGCCACGAATCGAACGAATCGTGGGAGTGGTGTGCCAAGATGAGCGAGGTGGCGCCATGCGAAGGCCGCCCTTAGGCCCTTAGATGGGGCTCCCTCGGCGGCCACGAAGCGTGTGAGGGGTGTACCATTATGCGCGGGATGTCGCCATGCGAACGCAGCCATTGGGGCCTTCGGTGGAGTTCCGGGTGGGGCCACGAAGCGTGTGAGGGGTGTGCGGGAGTGGGCGGAGTGGCGTCATGCGAACGCAGCCACTGGGGCCTCGGGTGGAGCCCGCTTATGGGGCCACGAAGCGTGGGAGGGGTGTGCCGACATGGGCGGGCTGGCGCCATGCGAACGCAGCCACTGGGGCCTTTGGTGAAATTCCGTACGAGGTCACGGAGCGTGTGAGGGGTGTGCTGGAGTTGGCGGAGTGGCATCATGCGGACGCAGCCACCGGGGCCTCGGATGGAGCCCCCTTAGCCACGAAGCGCGTGAGAGGTGTGCCGACATGGGCGGGCTGGCGCCATGCGAGGCAGCCGCTGAGGTGTTGGGAGGAGCCCCCTGAACGGACCACGAAACGTTCGAGGGAGGTGCCGAGTGAGCGAGGTGGCACCATGCGAACGCAGTCTTTGGAGCCTTGTGTGGAGCTCCATATGGGGCCACGGACCGTGTGAGAGATGTGCTGGCATGGGCGAGGTGGCGCCCTGCGAACGCAGCCATTGGGGCTTTGGGTGAAGTTCCGTATAGGGCCACGAATCGTGGGAGGGGTATGCCGCCATGGGCGCGGTGGAGCCATGCGAACACGGCCACTGGGGCCTTTGGTGAAATTCCGTACGAGGTCACGGAGCGTGTGAGGGGTGTGCTGGAGTGGGCGGAGTGGCATCATGCGGACGCAGCCACCGGGGCCTCGGATGGAGCCCCCTTAGCCACGAAGCGCGTGAGAGGTGTGCCGACATGGGCGGGCTGGCGCCATGCGAGGCAGCCGCTGAGGTTTTGGGAGGAGCCCCCTGAACGGACCACGAAACGTTCGAGGGAGGTGCCGAGTGAGCGAGGTGGCACCATGCGAACGCAGTCTTTGGAGCCTTGTGTGGAGCTCCATATGGTGCCACGGACCGTGTGAGAGATGTGCTGGCATGGGCGAGGTGGCGCCCTGCGAACGCAGCCATTGGGGCTTTGGGTGAAGTTCCGTATAGGGCCACGAATCGTGGGAGGGGTATGCCGCCATGGGCGCGGTGGAGCCATGCGAACACGGCCACTGGGGCCTTGGGTGAAGTCCCTTATGGCGGAACGAAGCGTGCGAGGGGTGTGTCGACATGGGCGGGATGGCGCCATGCGAACGAAGCCACTGGGGCCCCTGTGTGGAGCTCCCTATAAAGCCAATAAGCGTTTGAGGGGTGTGTCGACATGGACGGGGTGGTGCCATGCGAACGCAGTCACTGGGGCCCTGGGTGGGGCTCCCCCTCATGGGGCGTCGAAGCGCGTGACGGATGTGCCAACATGGGCGAGCTGGCGCCATGCGAACTCAGCCACTGGGGCTGTGGGTGGAACCCCATTGAGGGGCCACGAATCGTGCGAATGGTTTGCCGAAATTGGCGAGGTGGCGCCTTGCGAAGGCAGCCCCTGTGGCTTCAGGTGGACTCCGTATGAGGCCACGGAGCGTGTGACAGATGTGCCGAAGTGGGCGGGGTGGCGTCATGCGAACGCAGCCAGTGGGGCCTTGGTTGGAGCCTCCTTAAGAGGCCACGAATCGTGGGAGGGGTGTGTCGACATGGGCGAGGTGGCGTCATGCGAAGGCAGCCACTGGGGCTTTCGGTGAAGCTGCGTCTTGTGCCACGAAGCGTGGGAGGGTTGTGCCGAAATGGGCGCGGTGGCGCCATGCGAACGCAGCCACCGGGGCCTCGGGTGGAGCTTCCTCTGGCCTGGGGGTGGCACACAACACTTTGGGCACATCCGCTGAGGCCCCCCCCCAGGGGGCTACTGGCCAGGGTCCATTGACAACCCCCCACTGACACTGACACTGACACTGGGGGTGGGGAAGGTGGCTGCCAGGAGCTGGCAGGAGGGTGTCAGGGGGGTGGCAGAGTGGTGTCAGTGTAGCGTCAGTGGGATTGCCAGTGGCATGCCAGTCGCATGTCAGTAGCTTGTCAGTGGCTTGTCAGTGGCATGTCAGTGGGCTTGTCAGTGGGCTTGACAGGGGGCTTGCCAATGGCCCTCGCGCCACCCGCTCACTCGATACCTCCTCCTATCCCTTGCCAATGCCCCTCGCGCCACCCACTGACAAGCCCACTGACACGTCCACTAACATGCTCACTGACATGCCATTGACAAGCCACTGACGTGCCACTGACAAGCCACTGGCGTGCCACTGACGTGTCAGTGTCGGTGTCGGTGTCAGTGTCGGCGGGGGGCGGGGGCGTGTCAGGGGGGCGCCCAAGGGTTTGTCAGTGGGCGCCTGGAGGGCGCCCGGAAGCGCCCTCGGATCTTGTCAGTGGAGCCCCGGGGCTTGTCAGCGGGGGGGCTGTCAGTGGCGTCTGTGATTGCGACAGAATCCATGAGGCGCACCACCCCCAGCCCATGGTGCCACGAAGTGTGCGAGGGGTGTGCCAGAATGGGTGAGGTGGCGCCTTGCGAACGGGGCCACTGGGGCCTTGGGTGGAGCCCCCTTGACGGGCTACGAAACATGTGAGAGGTTTGCCAAAACGGACAAGGTGACGCCATGCGAACGCAGCCACTGGGGCCTTGGGTGGAGCTCGCGATGGGCCACGAAGCGTGTGAGGGGTGTGCCGACATGGACGATGTGGCGCCATGCGAACGCAGCCACTGGGGCTTTATGTGGAGCTCCCCATGGGGCCATGACGTGAAGGTAGACGATTACGATGATAATGGTGTTGATGTTGCTGATGATGATGATGATGATGATGATGATGATGATGATGATGATGTTGCTGTTGCTGTTGCTGTTGCTGTTGCTGTTGATGCTGATGTGTATGGCGATACTGACCATCATGATGATGATGATGATGATGATGGTGGTGGTGATGATGATGGTAATGATGATGCTGATGATGATGGTGGTGAAGATGCAGGTGATGCCGATTGAGATGATGATGGTGGTGTTGAGGATCACACTGTTAATGATGATAGTAATGGTGATACCAATGATGCGGATGATGCTGGTGATGATGATGGTGTTGATGCTGATGCTGAGGGTGGTAATGAGGTCGACCGCTATCATTATGATGTTGACCATGATAATGATGACGTCGATGTTAATGATGATGAAGCCGGCGATGTTGATGATGATGAGGATGGTGATGGCGATGGTGATGATGTTGTCAACGATGATGATGATGATGATGATGATGATGATGATGATGATGATGATGATGATCATGATCATGATCATGATCATGATCATGATCATGATCATGATCATGGTAATGATGATGTCGATGATGATTATGAGGAGGAGGATGCGAGTGATGATGCTGATGATGATGATCATCATCATCACGATCATGATCATGGTGGTGGTGATGAGGATGGTGAGGGAGATGATGATGATAATGATGGTGGTGGAGATAGGGGAGAGGAGGATGCCGAAGTGGAGGGCGGAGTGAGGAGGAAGAGAGGAGGAGAGGAGGACGAGACGCGCGGCGCTACGAACTATAATTTGGATCCACCGAATAGGAGGGTTGGGAATAAGGCTCTCGCCGCTGCCGAACAAACAACCACGAATCTCCGGCAGGCAGTTGGATGCAGCTGGGGCCGGAGGAGGCGTGCATGGAGGAGCTCGGGCCCCTCTTCCGCGCCAGGGCAATGCTGCTGGCCTCGGAGTACTTCGGGAGGCGTCCTCGTCGCAGACTTCATCGTCGTCGATGTCTTTGACTTTGACGCCAACGTCGTCGTCGTCGTTCCTTGTCCGCCTCCTCGTGGTCCTCCTAGGCGCCGTCTCCCTCCTATTCCTCCTCCTCCTCCTCCTCCTCCTCCTCCTCCTCCTTCTCCTGCTCCTCCTCCTCTCCTTCTCTTCGCATCCTCCTTGCTCCTCATCATCATCACCGCTAGCGTTATCACCAGACCATCCTCATCATGATCGTCATCATCAACAGCAGCAACATCACCATCGCCATCCTCATCTTCATCCTCATCCTGCTCATCATTGCCATCATCATCCTCATCATCATGTCCCTCCTCATCACCTCACCATCAACTTCTCGTCCTCGCCCCACCTCCGTCTCGCACGATCCTCGTCCACCTCTGTTTCATATCCTTCTTCCCCTCCTCGATATTTTTCTCCTGTTCTTCGTTACCCGCGCGCGCTCCCGCACCCGCGGGGGCAGAGGAGGAGGGGTAGGAAGAGGACGACGACGACGACGACGCGTAGGAGAAGAAGCAGAAGAAGAAGATAACCCGTAACGTACCCAACCCCTTCTCCACGCGAGGAGAATATTTGCATGAACCCTCCATGCAAAAGAACACGCCAGATATGCACGATCAGCGCCGCCCTCATCTCCGCACTGCCTCCCCGGAGGCCGAAAGTGGTGAGAGGTACGCTTCGCAGCCCCCCAGGGAGCTGCGAGGTCTCGGCTGGGTTCGTTTACTCTCCGCCTCCGCCGTGCTTCCCAGGAGCCAGCGAAAGTGTCGACAGTTGCGCAGCCCTCAGCCCGCCAGCGAACTGCGAGGTCCCGGCTGGGTCCGTTTACTTCCCGGCTCCGCAATGCCTCCCAGGAGCCCGTAAAAGTGTCGACAGTTGCACAGATCGCAGCCCGCCAGCGAACTGCGAGGTCTCGGCTGGGTCCATTTACTCCCCGGCTCCGCAATGCCTCCCAGGAGCCGGCGAAGGCGACCTTTGTTCGCAGTTCGCAGCATCCCATTGATTTGCGAGGTCTCGGCTGGGTCCGCTTCCTCCCCGACTCCAGCGTGCCTTCAAGGAGCCGACGAAAGTGGCGGCAGTTGCGCAGTTCGCAGGCTCCCAAGGAGCAGTGCAAGAGGAAGCAGGAGGAGGGGGGAAACGAGAGCCCAACACGAGGGGTCTGGGAAAACAGCGAGGAGGGCGCGTGTGGGAGCGCGCGCAGGAAGAGGAGCGGGACAGGAGTTGGAGGAGGAGGAGCAGGAGGAGGCAGGACGAGGGGGAGGAGGAAACGGAGGAAGCAGGAGGGTTGAACCCGCTTGTCCGCCCCCATCTTCTCCCTCCTAGCAACAAACGAAGAGGTGAGAGGAGTAGGAGGAGGAAGAGGAGGAGGAGGAAGGAGAAGGAGGAGGAGGAGGAGGAGGAGGAGGAGAGAAGACAAGGAGGAGGAGGGGGGAGGGAGGCGGAGGCAGGAGGAGGAGGGTGAGGAGGGAGGAGAGAGAAGGAGACTGCATCATGAGGGGAGAGGATGAGGAGGGAGGAGGAGGAGGAGGAGGAGGAGGAGGAGGAGGAGAGGAGGAGGAGAGGAGGAGAGGAGGGGAGGGGGGAGGGGGAGGTAGGAGGAGGTAGGGGGAGCCAGGAGGCAGAGGCTCGGCGCACCCCGTTCCCCCAGGCGCCTCCGCGCGGAGCTCCGCCGCGGCGAGCTCGCGGCGCCGGGGGGCGGCGAGGGCAGGAGGCGGTGCACCGCTCTGGTCGCATGCCAGGATGGCACGGGCGAGGCGGCTCGCTCCTCTTCCTCCTCCTCGCTCCTCCTCCTCGCTCCTCCTCCTCGCTCCTCCTCCTCCTCCTCCTCCTCCTCCTCCTCCTCCTCCTCCTCCTCCTCCTCCTCCTCCTCCTCCTCCTCCTCTCCTTGGCGCCACGTTGCTCTCTATGCTCATTCGCTTTCAGGTGCGCAGTGCTGCAGTCGGAGTGGTCACGGACTGGCGCCCCACAGTCATGCTCATGCTCCTCGCCCCCCAGCCAGCAAGCTTCGAGGCATCTGGGATGTGGGAGCCCCAGCGGCTCCCCCCAGCCAGACGGAGCAACGCCCAGTTGTGTTCCGCTGCTGTGGATTAGTTGAAACCGAGTTAGTATGGGTGGCAGAGTTCGGGCGGCTCTCCACAGAAACCGAAGCTCTGACAGTGACGGGGGGCCCTGGGAGGACGAGGCCTCTAAGCCTGATTGAGGCTTTATTTGTTGATTTTCCTTGAGACCACACGCGACGACCTCATCGTCGTCCTCCTCCTCCTCCTCCTCATCTTGCTCCTGTTCATTATTTCCGTACGGCACGGTAGGTAGTACCAGTTTTGCACGACTGTGCGGCAGCCCGGTTCCACGGTTTCTCGTCCCCATACGCCACTGTCGATGTCTGTCGGTCCCAGCAGGCCTCTGAGCATGGGTTGCTCCTTTTCGATGAGTCTGACGAGGGTTGGGCAACGTTGCTCTGTGGCGAGGGGGGCATGCCCCCCCTAGTTCTACACTCATTCATTCTCATTCGCTCTTTTCCTCTACGTCCTCCTCGTCCTCCTCACCCTCTTCACTATCATCCCATAATGAAGGTTCTTCGCCGGTCGGGCCGGTTAACGAATGCCGTACCTGTGTCTGAGCGTGCGCGGCCCGCGCAATGTATTGTGCGTGTTGGATAACATTTGTTGGTGACGCCCCAATCCGCCATCAAAGAAAAATGCTTCCCCAAGGAGACAGGACACCAAGACCGCGAGATGTATGTTCTAAGAAATGAGGTTGCATACGGTGTTACGTGGATGCCGGTACGTTTCCCGTCCAAGTATTCCGGTTACCGCGGCTTCAGGGCCGTCTTTCAGAACGTGGCATCGCGGGGTAGTGTTTGCCCCTTCTCTGGCTCTCACAGTAGTCGGTCCGCAGAACGACTGGCAACGGCCGGATAGGCGCGGGTACGTACGGCGTTCGATGATACGATGATGTTGCAGGCGTTTGTCACCAGTTAGCAGAGCCAGCGGGCACCCGATGTCGTTTTTGAGAGACGGGTTTCAGTCCAGCACAGCAGACGGCATTTTCTCCCCGCAGGCACGGGGCCAACTCGTGGCAATCTACACGCTGGCGCTAAACATCGTGTTGAGTAGAAGTGTGTCCACATTACGTGCATCTGACGAAATCAGATAGACTATCCACACACGTGTGGGAAGAGCACGCGGCGCCTTCTGATAATGTAGCCGAGATGTTGAGACGGTGTGTTTGCTGGCCATGAAAACTTCGCTTGGTCATACCGAACTCTAGCCAAGCTCACGGACCTCTTTGTCTGGTTGGCGCATGGCCCGCATGCGTAGAGCAACGCCGCCAAGCAGCGAGACATATGGGATTTTGTAGACCAAGAACAGCCGCTCGCTCATATGTATCAGACCTGGGCATAGCAAGTAACAACATCATCAGCGTCCCCATATAATCCAATTCCTCGTCTCCCCCCCTCCTCATGTTCATCCCTCTCTTACTCCTCGCTCCCCCCCATCCTACTCCTCGCCCAATTATCCCCCTGTCGCCCTCCTGCATCATCATCAGTACCGTCATCATCTTTACCATCATCGCCATCGTCGTAATCGCCATCATCGCGGTCATCGTCATAGTCATCAGCGTTACCGTCGTCGTCATCATCCGCATCAGCGCCGTGGTTATCGTCATCATCATCATCATCATCATCATCGTCATCACCATCATCCTCATCATCATCAACATCAACATCAACATCAACAGCATCATCATCATCATCATCATCAGCAGCATCACCAGCATCAGTATCATCGTCGAGATGCTGATGGTCTTCCTAGCTAACGACGGTCACCCTACCGGCGGTACCGCTGTTCAAGCCAGGAAACCTTGTTCTGCGCGCTCATTCGCAGTTCTGTCCCCTGACCCAGGCCAATTCGACACAGCAGCACGTATTTGAGGTCCGCCTTCGCTTGTTAATGCTGCGCCAACCCCCAGATCCGTGTGGCGATTCAGTTTGTGCGTGACCTTCCTGAGGAGCGTTTTGTCCCCAGGTGCTTCGAGGTTGCTCGCTTGGGAAGGATTATCCGTCTGCTCGAAGCCTGGCACAGCTGCTACTGCGTGCGCGAAGTCCTGACAAGTTCGGGCGTTCCTCTCTGTGTCTTTGTGAGGTCTGCGATTTTGTGTTTGCTCGCTGGCGTACCCCTTGTGTTACCCCCTGCTGCTTCTACTGCCGTCGCTGGTGCTGTTGCTGTGCATCCCCTCCTGCGTGTCTCTCCCGCTGCTGCTCCGCTTTGCCTTCGCCGCTCCCGCTGGTTGTGGTTGGTTTGCCTTTCGCCGTGGCTTCTTGCATTGTGGTCCCGACCTGCTCGGGGGTGCGCTGGCACCGAAGAATGATGAGAAGTCTGTCTCGGTCGTGGAGTTGGTGGCCCTCTCGGCCGCCTCGTCTCGCTCTCCTCCCCCCCTCCTCTTGCCGCCGCCGGCGACGGCTGCGCACGTGTCGGACGTTCTGGCCCGCCCAGCCCTTCCTGCCGGCCCCCTGCTGCGAGAGAGTGCCTCTCCCTCTTGCGCACCGTCGCCGCCCGCCCACCTTCACGGACAAGGATGTGCATAGGGCGGGGTGCTGCTGCCGCCCGCGTCCCCCCCGGGGGCGGCCGCAGAGTCTGCCTGTTGCGCCGCGGGTGGAGCTCCGACCTCCGACCCCTCAGCGCCTTTTGTGCGTGCTCCGCGGCTGTCACAGCCATGGCGCACAGCCGGCCGCCTCCTCTTTTGTCTGCCGTCGCCCGCGCGCGAGGTCCGGAGAAGTTGGAGCGTATCTCCGCCCGTGCTCGCCGCCGCCGCCGCCCTCTCGGTGGCTCCCCGACGGTCTCGGGTGGAGAGCCTGGTGCATCGTTCGATCGCGCCTGCTCGTCTCCTCCCCCGTCCTGCTCTGCCTGCTGAGTTGCCTTGGCGCCCATCCTGCAAGGGCTGAGATGGCTAGGGTGGCCTGGCTTCGTTTGCGCCCGAAGCCGCGCAACGTTTTAGTTCGGCCTACGTGATCTGGACTTTCACCGACTGTCACCCTTTCATTGCCATCGGCCCGCGGGCCAAGACATCATCATCATCATCATCATCATCATCATCATCATCATCATCATCATCATCATCATCATCATCATCATCATCATAGCCATTGTGGGTCTAGCTCTTGCTGGTCTCAGGGGCCACTGGGCTGCGCGCGCCGCCCCATTTCCTCCCCTCCCCTCCTCCGCGCGGCTGCGTCTCCCTCCTTCGGCTGATGGTCTCCGCCTCCCGACTTGCTTGGCTGGGTGACCAATTGGCGGCAGGGCGTCAATGTCGCGTGAAGCTGAACACGCACTGTGATCGGATCATCGCCAATTTCATCCTGCTGCCGCAGGTGGACGGGGCCATGATGAACAGCCAGGCCATCCTGATCGTGCAGTCCCTTCTACATGCCCTCCCTGGCGCTGTGGTCGTGGATCACGGTCATGCCTCCTCGGCGGGAGAGTCCCATGTCTCCTTTATCTTCAGGCGGCCTCCTGGGCAAGCTGCGCAGCATAGGCACGACGATGACGGTTGAGATGGACGAGATGATCATGGGCATGGCCCTGACGACGACGAACATGGTAGAGGGGGGCGACGTGGACGTCGTGGGCGTGACCCATGGCATGACGGTCAAGGTGATCCATGGTATGGCGGTGATGGTCGAAGGGTTCCAGTTTGTGGTCACCCTGACGCTCGCGCTGGTGGAGGCGCTGTGCTTCGTCCTCGGAAGGCTCCTCGTCGCCATGCCGATCAGGTGGCCGTTCTTCCTGGAGGCGCTGATCCTGCTGAACTGGTTGCTGATCTTGCTGTTCCGGGGCGCCCGCCGGCGGATGCTGCCAGAGAACGTGCCGGTGTGCTTCATCGAGGTTTTCCTCATCTTCTTGAGGACGTCGACGTTCGTGGAGCGGACGCTCGTGCTGGAGCCGTTGCAGATCCTGGTCGTGGAGCCGCTGACGCTCGTGGAGATGGCCCGTGTGCTGATGTTCCTGCAGATCTTCGTGGGAACGATGACGCCCGTCAAGGTGCCGATCTTCGCGGAGGATTTCCAGCCGATCGTTTCCAAGACGGCACTCGTGGAGCACATGCCCTTCGTGGAGCTGCTGATGTTCCTGCCAGTGCCGCTGTAGGAGGTGCTGGAGCTACAGATAGTCGTGGAGCTGATGACGTTCGTGGAGATGGCAGTCGTGCGGCTGTTCCTGCAGATCTTCGTGGTGATGCTGACGTTCGTGAAGGCTCGGATCATCGCGGAGGGCTGGCAGCTGATCATCCCCAATACGGCGTTCGAGGAGCAGCTGCTGTTCGTGAAGCCGCTGATGCCCCTGTCCGAGCCGCTGTTGGACATGCTGGAGCTGCAGATTCTCGTGGAGACGGTGTTTTTCGTGGAGATGGGGTGTGTGCGGGCATTCCTGCAGATCTTCGTGGTGACGGTGACGCTCGTGAAGGTGCCGATCTTCGTGGAGGGCTTGCCGCCGATCCTTTCCTCTTCGGTGTTCGAGGTGCTGCTGCCGTTCGTGGAGCCGCTGATGTTCGTGATGGTGATGCTCACGGGTGTGCTGCAAGTACCTACGTTCGTGCAGGTGCCGATCGCAGTGACCATCATGTCAAAGCCGTTCGATTCGCTTCTCATGACGACGATCATCCTGCCGAAATGTTTGCCGATGCTGGGTGTGGCGATCCTCCTGGTAATGTTGCTCGTGCATTCCGTCTGGATGGAGATGGTGGTGCTGGCGGTGGCCGTGTTGACTTTCCTGATCGGGAGGTGCTGGCCTCGCGGCTTCCTGATCCCATTGACGGCATGGACGACGAATCCCGCGCGGAATGGTTCCTTGGGGAGTTGCAGTCTTGTCGTCTCCGCCGCCCAGGGGTTCTTGCCCGAGTCGACTTTCTTTGGAAGTACATGGGTTGCTCGGCTGACACCGCTGAGGCAAAGAGGAAACGATCTGAATTATTAAAGATTCGCAATGCTGCTCTTACTCGCGCCCGTACCTGAACATGGTTTATCATCGAACCGTTTCATCTGCTATATGAATTTCTTCCTTTGCGATTTACAAGTTTTCTGTTGGTATCAGTGGCTGAACATAGCCATGCGAGCCCACACCCTCGAGCTCCTCCGATGTGCAGATGCGCGCCGAGGAAAAATCATCATCATCATCATCATCATCATCATCTTCATCATCATCAGCATCTTCATCAACAACATCATTACCATCATCGTCATCTGCATCATCATCATCAGCAGCAGCAGCACCATCACCACCATCGCCAACAGCATCAGCGTAAACACCTCCTCCTCGTCTTCCTCTTCCTCATCCTCTCCTGCTCTTCCTCCTCCTCCTCATCTTCTTCCTCCTCTTCTTCCTCCTCCTCCTCCTCCTCCTCCTCCTCCTCCTCCTCCTCCTCACCCTCACCCTCACCCTCACCCTCACCCTCCTCATCCTCTGCCCCCCCCCCGCCCCCCCCACCCACCCACCCCTTCCTGCCTGCCCTTTGCCGCGCAGGCGCAGGAGGGCGGCGAGGGAAGCCCCGACAGGAAGAGGCGCTGCACAGCCTCGGGCGAGGCCCGCCGGGGGGACCAGGCAGCGCCAAGGAAGGAGGCTGCCGCTCGACAGGAAGCGAGCCATGGTCGCTCCGACGATGTGATTATTCAGCTGGCGCGTTTTGTTTCTCGATCCCTGCCATTGGGGTCCGTTGTCGGAGGTCCAGGACACGTTTCCCCCAGGGTTCGTTCCGCTCATAGTCGAGCCACCAACGGGGCGCCACCTTTTTCGAAGCTCCGGGGTTCCACGATCAGAGAAGTTCTGGGTGCTTTCGGACGTGTTTGTTGGGGTTATGGACGGGGGTGGGGGGGTCTTCAGGGGATGTCCTCCTCGAACATGTGGCGGCCGCCCTGATGGCGACCCCCTCCCTTGGCACTGCCTGGGAGGAGGAGAACCTTAGGAGGATGCAGGGTCGAGGCCTTTGGGCGGCCCGAGAAGGCTCGGACCGTCAGCAGATGTGTGTGTTCATTGGCAGTGTGTTTCTTTCGTCTTCGGCTGCTTCTGGAGACCGTCTTCGAGCCCCAGGGCCACTGGAAAAGGATCTGGGGCAAAACGTTGGCTCCGGCAGGCGGTCGGGGACCCTTGGACCTGCGGACTCAAGAGTCGCGTCACTGGGTGTCCTGAAGGAAGAGCCGAGGAGGGCACAGCAGCAAGGTTTTCGGGGCCGTCTTCAATCGGGAAGCCTTTGGAGCACCTCCGCGGGAGGCAGAGGAGGAGAACGAGGAGGAGGCCCGGCAGAGGAGGAGGCCCGGCAGAGGAGGAGGAGAGAGGGGGGGGGGGCCAGGCTGGAGGGCGATAGGGGAGCCGCAGCGGCGTGGGCGGAGGCCGACGGGGAGAAGGTCTGCCCGGCGTTCGCGGAGCTGGGGCAGCCGGAGCAGCGGGTCGAGACGGAGAGGCGCTGGGGAGGACCTGCCTGACAACGTGGACGGGAGCCTTACAGGTTCGAGTTGCGTCGAGCCACGCCGGCGCACGAAGGCCTCGCGGGCCGGGGGGGCCCCAAACGGGGGGTGCGATTCGGGGTGACCGCACGGTTTTGGGACTTGGGTCGTTCTCCGAGCATTACTCGGGCGACTGGGGCCCCCCAGGGTTCCAAAAGCATAGTTACGGTGACGGACCGCGCCGTGAGGTCTTTGGGCGTTCCGAGGTCACCGCTCGGTCCGTGACGGTCCGTCACTGCACCGTTTGGAGATCCCCAAGGGGGGACAGACGAACCGGCATAGCGGCCTCAACAGCAAGCCGTCACCGGCAAGAGCTCAAGTTGTTGTCCATCACCGGCAAGACATCGAGAGCTGTTGGATCAAGTTGTTGCACCACAAGCACGCGAGCTGCTACAGGGTGCTGCCGAGCCAGACGAAGCAGCCGCACAGCCCGCACTCGAGGCCACGGGTGCTCGTGAGGCCAGGAGCCCCCCGTGCGTGAGAGGACGGCGTGCACCGAACCTGCTGCAGCTGGCAAGTCATGAGATGAGATTTCTCACAGGCCACGATCTGCTGTTGGTTTATGACGACGTCCTCGTTCGCTTTGCAGCAGTCGCACCCCGTTCACCCCCGTCAACAAGACATGGCACGTCACGAGTCTGAATGACAATCCTAGCTTTGCAGGGGTGCATTGCTGTGGTTCGTGTTGGGTCTCTCCAGCTTGGGAAGTGCATCGTTTTTGGTATCTCCATGGGGCATTTTGGCGAATGGGCTCACGTTCTTGACCCATGCTCGTATTGCCATGGTTCGGTTGTTTTCGCCATCCCAGTTGGCTCTTACGTACCCTGCACCGTCCCTTGTCTCAGCAGATGCAGACCTAACCCATTTCATTGTTTGTGTCATCCCGCTGACTCCTCTCGCACGTGCCTTCGAAAATCAGCACGCCCTCTCCTCTCTCCCTCTCTCTCTCTCTCTCTCGTTATGACTCACTTTCTCTTTCTGTCTCTCTCTCTCTCCCTCTCTCTCTCTCTCTCTTTCTCTCCCTCTCTCTTGTGGGAGAGAAGGAGGAGGAGGAGGAGGAGGAGGAGGAGGAGGAGGAGGAGGGCGACGGCGAGGAGGGCCAGAAGTGGGTTGAAACCTCCATTTCAGTTGTAGGGTGTTCTGATTTTCCTCAGTCATCCTGCTCCTCGCCCTCATCCTTCCGCTTCCCGCCCTCCCCATCTTCTTACCAATACACTGTGCAATCCTCCTTGTCCCTGCTCGCCCTCCTCCACTTCCTCCTCCCTATCGTCCTCACCATACTCCTCCTACACCGCACTCATTCCTGTTCCCCCCCACTTTTGTCGCTGCGCGGACGCAATGCGTACACTTGTTGCGCCTGTGTGGCGGCGAGTATCCGATTTGGGCGAAGTGTCACGCACAAGATCAACACCTCAGCGCGCGGCGGTGGCGAGACAGGCTAAGATACAATGAGAAGTGGGGCAGCGCGCGAGGGCGCAAAGGATTCGTGCAGAGGCCCACGTGGAGGGGGTGATGGAGGGGGTCGCCCATGCAGATCCTCCTCCTCCTTCCTGTTTTTTTTTTGCGTTGGGCAAACTTTGAGCGAAGCTCATGGCGTGGTAGCCCTCCTCCCCGCCGGCAGAGTGGCGGCCCCAGAGGCCATTGTCCAGGCCATCCATCAGGTTGAGTCTAAGACCCACAGCGTGCTGTGTCGCCAGTTCGCCATCAATTTGGAGGTCGCCACGTCCTGCCCCAGGACCGCGGCCACTCGCACAAGAAGACCCGCCCCGCGCCCTCGTGCTCTCTCCTCTCTTGACACCCGTCGGCAACGCCCGAGGGTGAGGAGGCACGAGCCCAGGGCGCGCGGCTCGGCTTTCCGACGTCAGGCCCGCGCCCGGCAGTTCATTTTTCAGAGGCGCTCTCAGGAATCTGGCCAGGGTCGTGTGTAGGCCCTAGGGCTCACGTGGCGGATGATCCGATGCATCACCCGCTGTGTCCGCACTGTGCAAGCTGCCATATTTTGAGAGTGCCGCGTGGCGTCATCTGGTTTGTGAGGGATGTGGTGCACATGCCACCGTTGCAGCCCAGGGCCTGGGCTCCCACCAGAGCTGGGCAGGAGGTGCTCTCCCGTCTGTCCACGGGCCTCCCCCCCAGCAAGCGGTGGTCGCTTTCCTGAGGTTTGATTGTGAAGCGTGCCCAGGCTTGACCCTGTCTCCACGGGCCCCCTAAGCCAGTCCTCCTGCTACACACCGTGCTCATCGCCCCCGTCCTCCTCCTCGCCCCCCTGCTCTGGCCCCACGCCCCGGGCCGGAGTCGAGCGCAAGCTCCTGGGGCAACCGGGCAGCCGCAAGTGGCGACGAACGGGGGCCGACGACGGGCCCGAAAGACGAGGCGAAGCGAGGGCGGGTCGGTTCGCTTGCGCCAGTTCGGTTTCGGCGGCTGGCCGGTCCTAGAGTCCGGGAAGGAAAATGCACGCGTACCGCTGACCTTCCTTCGTTTCTCCTTTTGTTGGGCCTCCTGGGATGGGAGGCCCTCGTCGCCACTGCTGGATTCGCCTCCAAATCCTGGTCAGAACGTGCCCCAGGAGAGGTCCGGGGAGTAGCGGTATCGTTTTTGTTGGTGGGTTTCCCCGTGAAGCTCTTAGTATGGTCGTTCAGGCCAGTTCGGCCAGTTGATTTCGGCGGCCATAGAGCGGCCTGATTTCTGACGAGCCAGTTTGGCAACGGCTAGTTGTTGGATATCGAGATGTTTGACCATGAAGTCGAAGAGTAAGCTACTCGTCCTCCTCCTCGTGCCCCGTTCCTTTCTGGTAAGAAATTCACGGAAGCGGCTTACGGAGAGGGAGTTTAATGGAAGGGTTCATTGCAACAACGTTGATGCGAAGTGGGTTTTCAATTGTCCTCTTCTTCCGCCTCCTCGTTCGGTAGCGAATCATGGAAGCTTCGCATACCCTCGTAATCTAGTTTTTCGAGCACAATAGCGTCGATCTGCGCCGATTCAGCGTCGATTAGCTTCGATTCGCGTCGACCTAGCGTCGATTAGCGTCGACTTAGCGTCGCTGAACGTCGCTTCCCCGGAGCCAGCAAGATGGCATGGGAGGCTCGTATGAGTTGCCACCGGATCCTGCTGGTTCCACCGTGTTCTTTGCCACCCCTCCTGCATATGGGGCGTTTAAAAAACGGCATCACTTTCGAAGATCGAAGGAGTTACCATCTCTTCCGCGGCGGATTGCCGCGGAAGGTCGGCGGAAGTAAAACGAGGCAGCCTCCGCCGGCAGAAGCCGGCGGAAGGTTGGCGGAAGGCAGCGCAAGTAAACGATGCGCCCCCAAGAGATGAAAACGTTGTTGGGTTCAGGGCTTCCGGAATCCGCCATACAGCGAATGACTTCTTGGCATGTTTTTCTCATGACTCGAGGTGGTCTGGGGGTCCTCCCCCCCAGCCGCGGAGTCGGGGCAGGTGCTCGCCACGCCGCACGCCGTGGAGGTGGCCCATGCGAGACGCTCTCGCGGGCGCCGCCGTCGCTAAGGGCCCCCCTCGGCCTGGCGGGAGGCGTTCAGGACGCAGACCCGAATGTCCGACGACGCCATTGCCTCAACGCGGGCATTTGTTTTGGAGTTTGGCCTCGTGGGCCCCATTTTCGGGCCCCAGGACCCATCAAAACCGGAAGCGGGATGAAAATCTACCCATGGGGAAGGGGTCGGTATTCGTTTTCTGGGTTCCGTGTTCGGGCTTCCGTTTTTTTCGGGAATTTGTTTTCCAGTTTGGTATGGGTGTTCTCCCGTCGGTTCTCGGCCCGTCATTGTTTCCCGTTTTCCAGCTTCCGAATTCCGGTTCCGGTCTTTTTCTGCAGGTTTCCAGACATTTCGTTTTTCGTATTTGGTTTCCGGATTCCGATGTTCGTGTCTAGATTGCCAGTGTATCGTTTTCTGTTTCCGCTTTCTGGTCCCAGTTTCTGCTTCCGTCCCCAGTAGGCAAGACCATCTCCGGTGATGATCTCGGCATTGGATATTCGAAGGGAGACGAGGAAGACAAGGATGATGCTGCTGATGATGATGATGATGATGAGGAGGAGGAGGAGGAGGAGGAGGAGGAGGAGAGGGAAAGTAGCAATTCCTCCCCAGTGGGGCTGGGACTCACGCTTGGTCCCAATCCGCACGCGCGCGACCCGCCACAGTCAGCGTTCCCTCCCTCCTCCGCCCTTGAATGTGATCCGTTCCGCCGGTTGGTCGTTCCTTTTTTTTCCTCTTCACCTCTTGGTTTCGTTTAGGGGAACGAAGAATGACATAAACATGAAACAACTCGGAGGTACGCGCGGATTTCTCAGATCCGCGCTGAACCCCCCTCTGGCCGATCCGAGACATCCGCGCGTATCTCAATGTTTTTATGTTTATGTCATTCTTCGTTCCCCTGTCGTTCTACCCTCCCACGGCGCAGGCTGGGAGGAGACTTGTCGAGGGCATCGGGGCATCGCATCGCTCGACAGTGGTCGCAGCTCGAGGCTCGAAGGGCAAGGTAAGGAGCGTGAGAACCAGGAGAGGGGGAGGATCGAGCTGACCGCGCGGGTGGAAACTGGGGGGCAGCACTCCGTGAGAGACGGCCCCCCGTGGAGGAGCCGGGGTCGAGGGCAGCAGTAGTAAGCGTGGGGGGATCGAGGACCATGGGGCGGACCCAAACGGTGTTTTGGCGATCTCGTGGGCCAGTTTCGTTTCGATGTCGTTTTTGCGGCAAAGGCGGATCGCAGACAAACCGAGGGAAGACAAGAACAAAGCGAAAACGAAGACGGTTTAGGTCGACCCCTGTCGAGGACTGCAGGAAACTGACTCCAAAGGAGGCCCGAAGGGCTCCTAAACTGCCACAGCCAGGAGCCTTGAGACGGGGGTCAATGCAAACGGGTGCCTCCTGGGAGGCGCTCGTCGCCACCGCTGGATTCGCCTTGAAATGCTCGTCAGAACGCACCCCGGGAGAGGTCCTGGGCGTAGCCGCATCGGTACCTTCTGGTTTCCACAGCTCCAGCGGCGCGCAGCGCAGAGTCGGGAGCCTCGAGACGGGGTCACTGGAAGCGGGGGCCAGCCAGAGCGCCGGGTCTTGCAGGACCCTGCAGAGCCAGGGGCGCTTTGACCCGGGCTAGCGCGCAGGATCCTTGCAGGATGCTGCAAGAAGCCCGACTGACCCGGGTTTGCATTGACCTGGGCCAGTAGATGCCCGGCACAGCGGGCCAACACACGTGCACGCAAGTTGCACGTGTTTTGCCGATCGGCGCAGGCCCTCGCCCCCCCCCATGCCATGGAGTGGATCTTGGCTGTGTTTGGCGCCTGTTTCGAGCAGGTGGAGTCTCCCCATAATGGACGCACTGGTGCAAACAGTCGCACTAAGCAGAGGTCCGGAGCCAGAGCCCCCTCTGCCCCCCTCTTTCGCTTAATGCCGAAACGCCGAATAAAAAAACGTTCACTCTCTTGGCCCACCGCTTACGGGAGATCCGGCGCTGCGGTCAGGAGCCTCTGCTTCGCGCTCCGCCCGTCCTGGCCCACCACGCTCTGGCGCGGGACGCCAGCCCCAGACATGCGACGTCCTGATTTCTTCATTACGGGGTCCGTGGAAGTTCCGACCCCTTCCCCGGGACCGGTTTCTCATCCCGCGCCGTTTTTTGACGGGCCCGAGGCCCGGCGAGGGCCCCCCGAGGCCGAAATGGGCCAAAAACCTTTCGCCCTGAATGGTTCTACGACGCGATCGTGCCTGGGAGCCACGTCGCGCTTCCCGAGCGGCAGCGCCCCGAGCTGTTCCCAACCTCCCGCCTGGTGGCGGTCGCGGAAATGGCCATAGCACTCAGTTGGACATGTCCCTCTACAGGAGGAATATTCAAAAATAGTCCAGAAATAGTTGGGGGACGACTTTTGCTTGCTATTCTTGTTGACCATTCGGGGTATCTTTGAATATTTCCATCATTCCCTCAAAATCGGCTTGCAGGGGGAGACATGCCCGACCTAATTAACCATAGCAGAGCGGGCGCCTGACCTTGCAGCCCTGGCCCGTGCCTCCGGTCCGAGAGCGCGTGGGGCGCAGTCTGCAGAGACGCCATTCCGTGTGCTTATTGCTCGAGTAGGGGGATCGACTATGGATCCGATGTGCCCCCAATCTGGTTTTCTCGCCGAATCTACTAACAATCTGTGGCATGTTGGCCAGTCTCCGGTCTACGAGACAAGCAACTCTGGGGCAAGTCAATTCTGCAACCGACCCCCTACAGGAATCTGGGAGGCCGCTGATCTTCCACGACACGTCCGTATTTTCCTCTTTTTCTTAATATCATCTTATGTCTATTAGTCTTATGATTATTACAATGGTTTTTATTGTTCTCGTTCTTTTTCGTCTTCTTTTTCGTCTTCTTCTTCTTCTTCCTCCTTCTCGGCCTCCAGCCCCGCGGAGCGGGGCGACACGCTACAGCAACTTGTCGCCGGCGCAGGGTGTCGCTGGGGCCACCGCCCCACCTCAAGAGGAGGAGAGAGAGAGAGAGAGAGAAGAGGAGGAGGAGGAAGAGAAGAGGAGGAGGAGGAGGAGGAGGAGGAGCAGGAGGAGGAGGAGAAGGGAGGAGGGAGGAGGGAAGAGGGAGGTGGGAGCTGGAGGAGGAAGAGAAGGAGGAGAAGGAGGAGGAGGAGGAGGAAGATGAGGAAGAGAAGGAGGAGGAGGAGGAGGAGGAGGAGGAGGAGGAGGAGGAGGAGGATGGAGACGGCGGAGGAGAAGGAGGGAGGAGGCTCTGGGGGTGGGAGGGACGCGGAATAGGAGGAGGAAAACGTTGGACTGGAAGAAAAGGATGATGAGGAGGAGGAGCAGGAGACGAAGGAGGGAGGAGAAGAGCGACAGAGGAGCAGGAGCAGGAGCAAGAGGAGGAGCGCGACGAGGATGAGGAGGAGGAGGAGGAGGGTGAGGAGGAGTAGGAGGGGGAGGTTCTCGACGACGAGGAGGAGCAAGAGGGGGTCAGGAAAAGAAGGAGAGGTGAGGCTCTCGGGAGCCCTTCCCCGCCAGCTGACTCTGCATGCCGGGCGCCCTCGTGTGGTGGGGCCAGCGGTCTTGTACGACAAGAGCGACAAGGAAGCCAAACAGGGGACGACGACGACGACGACGCCGACGGTGGCGGCGGCGACGACGACGACGACGACGACGACGACGACGACGACGACCACGGCGACGACGACGGCGACGACGACGACGACGATTACGACGGCGACGACGACGACGACTGCGGTTGCGGCGGCGGCGGCGGCAGTAGCAAGGGCGGACGACGAGACGGCGACGACGGCAGCGGCGGCGGCTGCGAAGACAGCGACGATGATTGCACGACAATGGTTGTGGTTTGGAGTCGCGAGGAGCTGCCCCAGCGCCCTCCCGCCTCTCGCTTTCCTCCCCCACGGCATGGGCTGAAGCGGGCGACGAGGGGGGACGAGTGAGGATCGAGGTGTCGATGTGTTCCACCTTTGGAGGGGCCTCCTGGAGCGCCCCCACCGCCACAGCAGCCCGATCCGCGCCGACAACTTGGCCGAACCGCCTCTCGAGAGCGGTCTGGGGGGTAGCTGTTCGAACTGGAGGAGGGCAGCACGGCACACCGACCTCCGACTTCGCGGTTTTGAGGGTGCACGTCTCTGGAGGAGTGACCCAGGCCTCGGGAGACTGAAAAAACGGCAGCGAGCGAGCACACATCCAGGCTTCCCAGATGGGGCCAGAGTAGGCGGAATCGGGGGGATCGCGCCGCATTGCCGCATTGCCGATGCATCGGGTGGGGCCCGATTCTCCACACGCCGACGTCGCCGATGCATCTCCGAAGTCGCCGATGCATCGCTGATGCATCGGCGACGTCTCGGCGATGCGCTGCGATCCCCCGACCGAATCGACTCGGACCATCGGCTCGGACCTCATTTGGGAGGCCGCCCAGAGCATCACCCCGCTAAGGGATCGAGGCGTATAGGGGGGTGTCACGCGCTCACGGAGGCACGGCGGGGCAGGCCTGCGCAGGAGATGGCGCGACACAGGCCTGGGATTGGCTGTCCGTGCTCCGTGTTCGTCTCTTCTGGCCCTCGGCTGTAAGGAAAAGAGGGGGCCGAGGGTTTGGGCGGGCCCGGCCTCGAAGTGGAAGGCGAGGCGGCCCGCCCGTGGAAATCGACGCATCCATGGGCCTGGGCACGGTCGGCCTTGGCCCCGGCCGCGCGTCGCTCTCCGGCGGCTTCCCTGCCTCTCTGCCGGGAGGAGCGGGGAGAGAGCCGCGAGGCGGGAGGGAGGGAGAACTGACGAGGGGCAGCGGGGCGCAGCGGCAGGGACCTCGGCTTCGGTCCCCATCGCTCGGGTCAGTCTCATCGCGATGGGGGCGCCACGGTCGGCGTGCGGCGTGAGCGCGCCGTGCAGCCGCGCCGGCTCGAGCAGCTCCGGGGTCGGTCCCGAGGCCCGCGGAGGTCACGGCGCAGCGCGCGAAGGCGTCCCCGCGAGCGCCGATGGCGGCGGTGGGTCCAGCACGGAGCCTGTATCAGCACACGGAGGTCCAGCGCAGGGAGGAGAGCTCGGCCGAGGAGCTCGGTGGCCTGAACAAGGCTCGGGGGAGGTCTGCAACGCCGTGCGGTAGTCTCGTGCAGTGCCGGCGCGGCAGCGGCCCCGCGTGGCCCAGAGGCGGCCAACATGGAATGACCTGGCGATCGGAGAGCCGTCGATCGCTCAAGGTTGAACGGTCCACGCAGTGTGAGAAGCAAACGCCAGAGTCGTCACGACACGAACTTGCTGTATAGGTCTCAGGGTGGGGGGCCAGCGAGCGGGCAGATGGCTACGTAGTCTCCACCCCTCTGCCTTATGAGCTAAGTCCTCCTTTCCGCACCACTAGGCGTGCCTGCAGGCTTGCCCAAGCGTGTCGCTTCAGACTACCTTACAATGAAGTGTAAGGCGTCCAACAGTTTCACGGGCGGAGGCCAGCACTTGCTCACAATGGGGATCGCGCTCTAGCGCCACGTACATTCGTGTTCAAAGCCTGCGACATGTACACGGATGGAGGTGATTTGGTGAAATTGTGAGTCCAACGTGGGACGTCTTGAATAGGGGGCCACATGCGAACCCTACCCCTACCCCCCTCAGAAATCGTGGGGGGTAGGGGTAGGGTCCGCTCGTGGCCCCCTACTGAAATATACGACCACGAGTGTAGCATCGTCAAACGGTTGCACGGGTGAAGGGCGTCTGCTTTCACAGTGGAGCTCTTGCTCGAGATGTCCTCGGATGTTTGCGACCAGGTGCTCGAACCGATGTAACAGCTGCACGGACGGAGGGAACTTCCTTTTCACAATAGGGTTCGCGTGCAAGAATTCCCAAGTTGCATGATTGAGTGGGCACGTGTGCATCAGTTGCACGGATGGGGTTGGGTCTTTTTCACCACATGGTTCTCGTCGGCCACCTTGCTCAGTTATTGGATCCCGTATTGTACGTTCCTGTGAGTTCGCTCGGGGGATTGAAAGAGCTTTCTTTTGAAAGGAGGGCTCTCGCCTGAGTGGCGGGCCCGCAGGGTGCTCGGATTGCAAGGGGGCGCTGCTGGCAATGGCGATAAAGGTGAGTAGGATTTTTCTCAGGAGAGAACGACTTTGGGACGGGAGGGTGTACTGCAGCATTGCTGATACATTTTGGGATCATTCTCATCCTCCGCACCGTCATTACCATCATCACCGGCATCACCATCGCCATCAGCATCAGAGTCATCATCAGCAGCAGCATCATCATCAACAGCAGCATCACCATCATCATCAGCAGCAACATCATCATTACCATCAGCATCATCATCATTTTCATCATTCTTCACCTCCCTCCTCCCATCCTCCTCCCTACCCTCCTGCTTTTTATTATCCTCAGCATCCTCCCCTCCAGCCAACGCGTTGCCATATACTTGTCCTCACGGTGGCGCGAGCCCCCTTCCCCCCCCCAGATCGAGATATGGGGAAAACACCTTGCAAGCAGCTTGGGTCTGCGCAGTAGAGTTCCATGGAGCAACTGGTCCGCACCACTGCGCGGCATCGTGAGCTGTGGGACGGGCGGGACACATACGTTGGCGTGAGCCGTCCCATCCGTTCTCGCAGCATGGGCTTGCTGCAGTCTTTACTTGATCTCTGCTCTCTGTCCGGCTCAGGCGGGGTGAGTCCGCCGATGGGGGCAGAGGCGCGTTCCAGGCCCGCGTCAGAATTGAAATCCCTCCCTGTCCGCCCTCCTCCCCCTCCTCCCTCCCCCCGCCTTTTCCCTTGCCGCCCCCCCTTCCCCGCCCTGGTCCCCTTCGCTCCTCCCCTCCCTCCTCATCCTCCTCCTCCTCCTCCTCCTCCTCCTCCTCCTCCTCCTCCTCCTCCTCCTCCTCCTCCTCCTCCCCTCCTCCTCCTCCTCCCTCCTCCTCCTCCCTCCTCCTCCTCCTCCTCCTCCTCCTCCTCCTCCTCCTCCTCCTTCCTCCTCCTCCGCCTCCTCCTCCACCTCGTCCTTCTCCTCCTCCTCCTCCTCCTCCTCCTCCTCCTCCTCCTCCTCCTTCTCCTCCTCCTCCTCCTCCTCCTCCTCTTCATCCTGCGCACCACGCGGGTCCCTTTGCCGCCGGCGCACTTTAGTCGGGAGCCGGCGCAACCCCCCCACCGCAGGTGCGACCCACCGCTCAGCGGCGAGCCACCCCCACGGAGGAAGGGGTGCGCTGGCCAGGACCTATACCTCGCATACTTGGGAACAGGTCGGCGACGTCCAGGATGGCGCGGACGGCAGCGACGGCCGGTTGCCCGCCTGCGCCAGCCGCCCCCCAGCACCCAGTGGCGGCCGCGCCCGCGCACCGCCGCCGCTCGCGCCAGCCCGGCCCAGCGCGAGCGCCCACGCGCCCGACCAGTTCCGCGCAGTCGCCGAACTCCGCGCGGGCGCCCAGCTCCACGCGGGCGCCGCGCAGCGAGGGGAGGCCAGGTGTTCAGGTGGCCGCTGGTCTCTGCGCCTGGCGCGCTGCGGCCCGGTCGCCAGCCGCAGCCGCTGGCGCCTTCCTCCAGGGCCGCAAAGGGGTCGCCAGGGCACGCGGGGCGGCTGGCCAGCGGGCGCCGGCCGCGCGGCGCCGTCGCAGCGCTACAGCACCGGCGGGGGCAGGGCCCGCGTCAGGGGGCCAGAGCGCCTCGTGCTGCCCCCCGCGGCTGCGGCACACGCCGCCTGCTCTTCTTTGGCTGCTGCAGGTTCGTCGTCGCCCTCGGCGCCCTCTCTACCTGCTGCCCGCCAGGGACATGGAGTCTGGCTGCGTGAAGGCGCTGGTTAGTCGCCACGCTACGGCAGAATGCAGCGCCATGCTAATTTCCTGCCATAGGGTTGTGGCCAGAAAAGGTGCTTCGGCGTCGCGACCCGTCAGAACCGCGAGCATGCGGATGGCGGCTAAGGCGCTCTCGCCTGCCCGGCCGCCGATCTCAAACACACACGGCATCACGTTGAGACCGTCCTCCTCCTCCTCCTTCACCTCCTCCTTCTCCTCCTCCTCCTCCTCCTCCTCCTCCTCCTCCTCCATCTCCTCCTCCTATTCCTCCTCCTCCTCCGCCCCCTTCTCCGCCCCATCCCCCTTCTCCTCCTCGTCGTCCTCATCCTCCTCCTCTACCTCCTCCTTCCCCTCCTCCTCCTCCTCTCCTCCTCCTCCTCCTCCTCCTCCTCCTCCTCCCCTCCTCCTCTCCTCCTCCTCCTCCTCCTCCTCCTCCTCCTCCTCCTCCTCCCCTCCTCCTCTTCCTCCTCCTCCTCCCCTCCTCCTCCTCCTCCTCCTCCTCCTCCTCCTCCTCCTCCTCCCCCCCTCCCCTTCCGCTTTCTCCTCCTCTTCTTCCTCCCCCCTCCTTCTCCTCCTCCCTCCTCCTCCTCCTTCCTTCTCCTCCTCCTCCTCTCCTCCTCCTCCTCCTCCTCCCCCTCCTCCTCCCCCCTCCCCCCCTCCCCTCCACCTCCTTTTCCTCCTCCTCCTCCTCCTCATCCTCCTCCTCCTCCTCCTCCTGTTCTGTAGCCATTTTGTTTCAAGTTTCTAAATTCCCCGGGGGACCAAGTGGATACCGCTAGTCCGCGGCAGTGCCAGGACCTTGTGGCCGACAGTTTCTCGTTCACACCAGCTGGTCCGCCCCAGCCTGGTGTCTGCCTCCCCTTGCCCGCGGGTGAGCAGGCCTTCCACGATACCGCCCTCCTTTGGGCTTCGTGCGGCACGGGCGGCGCTGGTACTGATGAGTGGGAGCGTCGCCTCTGGGTGCAAGCAGCGCGGCCCCGCCGTTCAAACACGACAAGTTCAGTGCTGAATGGAAGACGGTGGCGAGCCCCAAAGGAGAAATTCTATGCCACCGCTGCGGTTGCCGAAAAAAACCCAAGGGCGCGATGCATTGCAAGCACAGCGGCCAGAAGCTCGGAACCCGCCCCCATCTGCCCGAGGTGCCCGAGTCTAGCCTTCGTTGGGAGGAGGAGGTTGGCAAGGGTGCTGCAAAGGTGGGGAAGAAAAGGATGGGTGGCAAAGGTGGTTTTCCGCGGACGGGGAAAGGACCTGTGGGCTCGTTTATGGCCCTTCCCCCAGGGCCCATCCATGAGATACCTCAGTCCAAGGCGCTCGAGCTGCAGCGTCTGGCTCAAGCGGCTGGCGACTCTGAAGGGGCGGCGCGCGATGCCGCGCTGGCGGAACGTGCAGCCCCGCCGCCCAGGCCGCCAGGACGCCAGAGGCTCATCGAGACGGAGCAGAAGCAGGAGAAGCTGGAGAAGAAGCTCAACGCTGAGCTCGAGAAACTGCAGCGCTGGAGGGCGGCCACAGGGGAGCTTGCGATCACGGCCAAGGAGACGCAAAGTGAATTACAAATTACAACGGGATGGTGCTGAGGTCGCCGCCACGCTCGCGGAGCTCCAGAGCCAGCACAATGTGCAGTACGAAGCTGTGGAGGCCAAGCCGCTCATCAGCCTCCGCAGGCTCATCGAGGGAGAGGTGGAGTTGCCTCTGTCATCTCTGTGGGCGACTTTCTTGATGTGGAGGCGGTCAAGGGCAACTATAGAGTTTGGGAAGAGGCCCGTCGGGAGCTGGAAGGCCGCAAGAAAGACACAGCCAAGCAGATGCAGGAGGTGCTCACCACGGTCTTTCGGAAGGCGGTGGACAAGGCGAACGAGTGCCAAGACAAGCACAAAGAGAACCTCAAGCGCCTGCAAGCGAAATGTCGTCAAGTCGATGCGTCGGAAGGTGATGGAGCTGGGGTGCCAGTTGAACCATCTCCTGCAGCGGCCCCTGGCCATGGCGAGCCCTCGACGGCAGGGCAGTCAGAGACGCAACCAGCAGACAAGCCTCCTCCCAAGTTGGATATTCGTGCTCATGTGGCCGTTGACCCTGGCGCGCAGGCGCCAGGGAAGTCGGGGCTTTAGCCGGTCGGAGACCGCGAGTTCCACGTGGCCCGGGTCGACGCCATCGCCTTCGGCAACTCCATGTACCTGGTCCTCGCTCGGTGCCAGCCCTCCTGAGAAGGCGTTCCCCCTTGAGGGGAGGTGGCCCAGTCTGCGTGAACCCACGACAGGTGCGAGTTCTCGGCTGGTGGCCCCGCTGGAGGAGGCGACGCCGGCGGCTTCGTCGATTGCCGCGGGTGGATCGTCGAGGCCTTCTACTTCGGTGGCTCCGTCAGCGCCGATGTCGGCAATGCCCTCCGCTTCGGTGTTGCTGTCGGCGTCAGTTTCGGCCGCTACCTGCTTTGTCGGATCGGGGGCCGGGTGCTCCTCGAGTCCGAACCATTCTGAGTTTAATTGCGAGGAAGCGGTGCCACTGCCTGGAGTGACACCACGTCAGAACGCGGCCGTCAGGAGGTCAAGGCTGGCGGCCTACTTGCCCAAGCTTTTGCTGCGTGCATGGAGAGAATCAATGCGTCAGGATGCTCGGGCGCTGTGGATGGCACGTCCGCTACGGATTTGTCAGAACGCGACGACCAGGTGCTCCTTGAGTCTGGTCGTCGCAGAGTAGATTGCGAGAAGCTTTTGACATCGGCATTGGTTGCGGGAAGTCAGAACACTGGCGGCGGGTGCCCCTCGAACCCGCCACCATCACGAGTAAGTTGCGAACGGCCCCTGGCTAAGTCTCGAGAGGTTGGCGCGCCCAAGCAGGTCGCCCCCCTGCAGGAATGTTTTCCCCTTGAGGAAGCGGGCGCGCAATGGCCCTTCAGAGCTGGCGCCATGAATGCGACTGCCTCGCCCCGAGCACGCAGCACGACGCCCTGGATCGAGGAGGAGTGCCAGATGCCCCGCGCGCCGTGGATTCAGGAGACAGCACTGCGCCCCTCGGCCGAGGCAAGTGCACGCAAGTGGACCCGCGCTGGTCGGCGGAAGCTTGCTCTTGGAACGCATAAGCGTACGGGGGTGTCAGCCAGGGCATTATCAGCGGGAGTGGGCTTATCTGCAGCCATTGGGATAGGAGTGGCCATGATGGAGATACCTGAGAAGTGGCCAATGACCTTGGGAGCCAACTCTTGGATCATCATCGGCTCAGTCTACGGAGTTGGCGCGATCGGTTCCAAGGGAGAGAATCTCGAGCTGCTGGAGTTTCACAGTGCCTTCCTGGGCGCCCAGCGCTTCCCCTTCCTCTTGGGGGGCGATTGGGGCCTGGAGCCAGAAGACTTTATGGGGCCCGGTTGGCTGGATCTGGCGATGGCGACCATCTTCGCCCCTGGGCTGCCCGCCTGCAATGGTAAGGAGTACGACTACTTCATTGGCTCCCAGACTATAGACGCTTTCCCGATGAAGGTAGAAGCTAGAGTGGACAAGCCGATTTCGCCGCACTGTTACGTGGAGAGCATGATTGACGGTCTGAGGGGCCAGCCATTTGTCTGGGTAGAAGCTCCGCCGAGAGCCTTCCCACTGGCGGAGCAGGAGGCGAAACGAAAGGCTTGGAAAAAAGGCCAAGAGCGCTTGATTCGTCGACCTCACCAATGTGGCTGCGCCCCCCTTCTGTTCAGGCGTTGGCGGAGTGGCAGCTAGATGCCCCCATTCAACCCGGTGGAAGATGCAGCGGCGCCGTGGTTCACGGCGGCCGAGAAGCACCTGGTGCAGCTCTCCGAGATCCCTCTCTCAGGCAGGCTTTTGCATGCTGGTAGAGCGAAGGGGGTTGCGCTGAAGAAGAAGCGATTGGCGGGTTGCCCCGAGTCCATCCTTGAGCGCCACGATGAGACGGGCGCCAGGTCGTGGGTGAGCGCGC